CGGAAGGAAGATGGGGCAATCTACTTCTGTAGTGATACTGCCTCGGAAACCCAAGGAGGGGTCGCTATGAGTCGGGTCCAACTCGATGGCACATACAACAACAACAAACATAACTAAAAATGCACAAACATCAGAAGATAAACTAGATGACTGTGACCACCTAAAACTTAAATTCTTATATGCATTAAAAGATTTCTCCTAAGGATTAAAAAGAGAACCTACAGAATGGGGGAAGAAATTGGCAACGACATATCAGACAAGGGACCTATCTTTAAAATTTATAGAAAACTCCAACACATCAATAACAAAGAAGACAAATAATCTAAGTAACAAATGGGCAGAGGACATGAACAGACATTTCAAGAAAGAAGACATTCAGACAGCCAACAAATCCATGAAGAAATGCTCACAATCATTAGCCATTAGAGAGATGCAAATCGAAACAAGATCTCTCATCCCAGCGTTAATAGCAAAAGCTCACAAAAACAGAAAACAATAAATGCTGGTGAGGGTGTGAAGAAAGTGGAACCATCATACATTGGTGGTGGGACTGTATAATAGTATAACCACTGTGGAAAATGGTATGGTGCTTCCTTACAAAGTTGGAAATAGAAATACCATATGATGCAGCAATCCTACTATTAGGGATATATCCTATAGAAATAAAAGCTGTAACAGGAATAGACATATGCACCCCCACATCCACTGTACCATTATTCACAACAGCAAAAAGATGGAAACAACCTAAGTGTCCATGAACAGATGAGTGGATAACCAAACTATGGTACATATACACAATGGAATACTACTATAGAAAGTCTAGAAAATGTTCATACACAGAAAGAAACATTCTTTGATTGTTACCAGGAGTGGGAGGGAAAGGGAGAGTTAATCACTAACTAGAGAGTAGACACATATTAACTTGGGTGAAGGGAAAGGCAATGCACAATAAGGTGGAGGTTAGCACAAAATGATCAAGGTAAAGGAAGACACTGGGAGGAGTACAAGAGTTAAAGACAACAGAGGTAAATACTATTACATATACCATCCTTCAATAACAATAATAACAATAATCTATGAGTGGATATATAGATGGAAAAGGTGAACAGGGGTGGGAGGGTGAATGGAACTACCTACAAATATATGTAGGGTTGACAGAGGATATTTCTACATATGCATTCATATGTACTTCAAATATATCTATATATATTGTATACATACATATATCTATATATACAATAGAGCATACAGGGGCCAAAGTTATGAAAACTTCTTAGCCATAACCAAACACCATGAGGAAATCATTCCATGGGCCTGGGGGCTCAGAACAAGTTTCGGGGGACATCAAAGTCAATTGGCAATATTACAGTCCACAAAGCCAGTGTTCTACATCCTTCTCTGGTGAATAATAATTGGGATCTTAAAAGCTTGTGAGCAACCATCTATGGTGCAAATACTGGTCTCTCCCGTCCGAAGTAGAGAAGAATGAAGAAACATGAAGACAATTAGTCCAAAGGACAATGGATCACATGAACATCAGCCTCCACAAACTTGAGACCGGAAGAACTAGATGGTGCCCAGATATACTCTTCCAGCCTGAACTCACCCCCAATGGCTCAACTTTCAGCCAAACAGTAGACAGGCATATAAGGTGAACAATAATAACACCAGGGAGGTATGCACTCCTTAGAACAATCAAGTATACAAAACCAAAAGGGCAGCATTTGCCCAAGGACAAAGCTAAGAAGGCAGGAAAGGACAGTAAAGGATGAATGGAAATAGTAAACGCAGGGAGGAAGCGGGAAGAGTGCTGTTACACTGTGGGGATTGCAATCAATGTCACAAAATAAAATGTGTATGAATTGCTGAATGGAAACCTAATTTGCTCTGTAATTTTTCACCCAAATAGCAATAAAAAGTTTTAAAAAATGATGTATCCTTATTTTAAATAATATAATGTATTTCTTTACCATCACACTTTTTTTCCAATGTACACACAAGGCTACTGATTAGGCCAGGAGTTGACAAACTATGGCTCACAGACCAATGTGGCTTGTTGCCTGTTTTTGTAAATAAAGCTCTATTGGAACACAATCACATTTGTTTATCTCTCGTCTCTGGCTGCTGTTGTGTTACAATGGTAGAATTGAGTAATTGTGATAGAAAGTTACCTTCTAGCCCTCTATACTTGGCAGATTCCTGCACCAGGTAATTAAAACTGATAGTCTTTGGGGGTGGTTGGTAGAAAATTTTGAGCTTTGATGTGGAGTTGAAAGGCGGAACAGGGAAAGAAAAAATGAATTTCTTTCCTTTTTGAGTACACTTCAAGAACATATTTTTAAACATGTCATTTACTATGGATATTTTGAAATTAAATATTAGAGATGCCTGCTTCATTCTCTCCACCCCTGAAGCTCACCCCAACTCTTAGCTAGAGACACTTATTAGCCCATATTGCAGAAGCAGGAAGGACCTACATCAAATACACTATTTCACATTTCAGTTTTACTAATGGTTTTTTGGTCTTATATCTCTAGCTTGTCTGTCTGGAAATAATCCTTTTCCTTCATTCTCTGCATGGAATCAATCAGCAAATCCTGCCAATTTTATTGTTCTATTTATTGAATCCATCTGTTCTTTCCCCACTGAATAGTCTAGGCCATCTTTCCCATAGACAACTGCAAAAGTATCAGAACTGGACTCGTCTCCTTGCTCTGGGGTTTCTCCCTGTAATCATTCTCCATGATGGCTTCAGAAAGACCTATAGAAAAAGAAATTCTGTTATTCTCACTCTGGCTTAAAAGTCTTCAATGGCTCTCTATTGCTAACAGGATAAAACACAAGATCCTTAACCCCAAACCAAGCAAAACCCATTGCCATCAAGTTGATTCCAACTCAGCGACCCCACAGGACAAAGAACTGCCCCATAGGGTTTCTAAGGCTATAAATCTTTACAAAAGCAGACTGCCACATCTTTCTCCTACAGAGAAGCTGGTGGGTTTGAACTGCCAACCTTCTAG